CCATTGATTTGTAATCTGGTATAACAGAACTTACCCTAAATCCTCTGATAATCATCTGATGGCTTTTTTGTTGCTCTAAATTCTTTGGTTTGAGAATCCTTGTGGGTAGATGCATTAAAATAAATTAAGATGGCATTAAGGTACCTTAGCAATTAAAATTTAACAACTGGGCTTTTTGCGTTTTAATTATGAAAAACAAGCAACATTTCTGAACATTGGAATTTGTTCTGGATTTGAAAACTCTCCAGTGAAGATCTGTTCAAGGATAACATTGTTATGACAAGAAAAAGCTAATGGAGATAAATGCTACAGTGTCACACAGTTGATGTATTCTTGATTTCTGTCACTGCAGAGCAATGCAAGAGCTTCTGGTGCACTTTCAGCCTGAGCCGTCTGTTCCTCCGCCCACTCCATCAACACTGTCCTCACTTGCAACTTTAGAAGGTCAATCTGGTGAGTCTACTCATGAAAATATATACATGCATGCACAGACTTGGTATGCTTATTAATTTTCTAAGGGGTGAAAACTTGGTTGTAAATTATACTTACAGTACCACTCAGAACTAAGCGAACATAAAACACGTGTTCTCAATGAACCCCTAATGTGTTTTTGCCAACGTGATAGGGCCAACGCGTTAGCCTTTGTTATTCATAACCAATGTTCCTTTTGTGATGCTTTGTTATGGTGAACAAAGCAGGACTTCAGTTCAAAACAAATGCGTGATTTGTAAATCCGCGCAAAGCGAAATTCAAATCAAAACACAGCGAATTAACAAGCCAAGTTGAAAATTTGACCATTGGAATCGCAGAACCGCTTTGTAACACTACCACTGAAGGGTGACTCTGAAAGCCGGAATGATGGAATGGCGGAACGACGGAATGGCAGAATCACAGAATGGCAGAAAATGACCCCAAATCCTAAAAGATGGAATTGTGGAACAGTGGAAAATGACCACAAATCCTAAAAGATGGAATCATTGAACAGCTTAATGGCGGAAAATGCCCCGAAATCCTAAAAGACGGAATGACACAAAATCACCCAAATTCCTAAAAGACGGAATGATGGAAAATCACCTGAAATCCTAAAAGATGCAATGATGGAAAATCACCCGAAAGTCACCCAATTTCCAAAGAGGAGTTAGGGAAATTGAAAAAAGGCACAGGTTTGTGAAACCCCCCTCCCTGTGTAAAATAGTAATGTCTTTTGTTGTTGTTAAGAATTTGTTATCCTTTAGATTTCTACTTCCAATTCTCATGTAGCTTTCACATATTACAGTCGAACAAAGTGACAAAATCAAGAATTTCCATGTGAAAGGTTGTGTCAAACCGTCACTCCGTCACACTGTGCAGACAAAGTGAGGTAAATCCTAAAAGCCACAGATTGGCGGTGATAGTGGGGTGACAGACCTACACAACTCCTATCCACCTGTAGTAGCCGCTTTGAAATTTTTGCTTGAACTAGTATATCTTTAAGGATCTGCCCCTTTTGTATATATTGTACAACAGGGGGATCTTTGAATATTTTGCTAAGCAATAATCCTGTGTTTTTAGGAGGACTTGTCACCAGAGTAGAGTTGTTAATAGAGGTCATAGGTCTGTGTGGTTTCCGTTGTTATCCGCGTGTAATTTGTAGAGTTTTCATGAACATATTGGTTACTTGCATTTTGTATTATTACGCCAGACCCAGCTGTTTGATTAACTGTTGCAAGTTATGCTGCTTCTTGTCATGGGTGTCATATTTATCTTTGTCTGGCTTTGCCAGAGATAGCTGTAGCTTTCCTTGCGGAAAGCTATACGGTCTTTCTTAGAGAGACGTTCTTATGTTTGTTGCATCAATTTCATCGAGCTTTTGTCCTTCCAGTTTGTTTGTTCTGGCACTGCAAATTTAGATGTTCATGCGCAAGTTTGTGCACTGTTTTGCGTGTTGTTTATGATATTGTGTGGTTTTGTTCAGGCAAAAGCTCTGAATTTAGGAGTTCTTCCTATGATTGTTCATCCAACTCCACGTTGTGGTCGTCATTGCTTTTGTTTGCGATGTTGTCTGGTTTTTTGGAGACTGTTAATAGTCCTTCCTTTGTTAGGAGGCTCGTAGCCTTGTTGTTCAGGGTGGGGGGGGGTACATATACTAGTTCGAGCAAAACTCTCAAAGCAGTTATTGCAGGTGGATAGGAGTTGTGTAGGCCTGTCACCCCATTGTTATCACCGCTGATCTGTGGCTTTTAGGATTTACCTCGCTTTTTCTGCACAGCATGAC